GCCAATCAACTCTGCTCACACATCATTGATAATTACTAGTCCTTTTGAGGTGTTCTGGCACATGAAACATGTTTGATTTATATTAGGCACACAGGCCGCCACGATGCAGGAGCATCCTATCAGTGGCTAACATCTGTTTCAAAACCATATTCTTCAGGGAAACTACTTCAGACTGTAATTTTGCTTCCCTCTCCATAGTGACATTCTCCAATAGATCTATGGCTCCTGAAGTCTTCTATACAAGTTCTGCCAAGGTGTGATTGTTTTTGTAGATTCTGCCGCCTCTACTGCTGGAAACAACGGCTTCTTCCTACTTGAGTCTCTGTGGACCATTTCCAGGCCTCCAGACAAGACCCTCCTGCTGACCTGTATGGCTCGAGGAGAAGAACGTGGATCTCATTGAATACCTTCTTCAAGAAGGGCCGTTTGGGCAGCACAATCTGCCCAAGGTCATCTGTCGTGAAGACAGATGTCTCATCTGTGGGTAGTTTGCCCTTCAGAAACCAAAGGGTTTTTGATCTGGAGGACGATAGTACACTGAACTCACAGTGATTCTATGATCACTGGATTCTACCCCTTTTTTGACCCAGATGGCCACCCCACCTCCCACACGCCCCCTCCCTATCCTTCCTGGATAGGCTGGGACTGCAGAATCGATGAGGGCCGCTGTATCGATGTTTTATCTAGCCTCCCAATGTTCCAGCTCTCCCTTCTTTGCTCAGATGCTTCAGGCATTTCTGTAAAAGCACCTGCGAATGGGGTCCCCCCCAAAAAGGGTGGCTTGTTTCTTTTTTCCTATTGAGAGCTACTTGCGATGAGGACACACCCATGACACTTTTGCCCAAGTTGCAGGTAGTCGTGCAGGGGACCCTCAGTGCAAAACACGGGATAGCATAGCCCCCACTGCTGTCTTCCTGACTGCATGCTGGCTTTTTGTTTTGAGCTTGCCAAACCTCTTCCTCAAAGGACACGAGAGGCAGGATCTGGGGCCCTGGCTTCCTCCCCGCCCCTGCTGAACTCGATGGCAGGAGGCAAGGACTGATAACGTGACCCCATCTGCAACAGAATGTGCAGCATTCAGAATTCATAATATTTAATTTCGCTGGGGTCAGATACCTTCTCCGTTTTAATGTATAAATGTTGGTCTTTATTCTGCCTGATGTGGTTTATCAAATACTTTTTTCCTCTCACATGCCTTGGTTTAGGTCTCTCACTCTGGAGCCAGAGGTTACGGAGGTCACTTCTCTTCTAGCTCTGCAGTTCTAAGATTCTATTAACTCAGTACCTGTTTCCCTGGCCATCTCTGCTTCCTCTCCTGTTTTCAGAAATGCCTCATGATTCTCTACCCATAAGAGCATCTTACAAATTCTACATCCCATCCCGTTCATGGACCTGTCCTTTCTCTTCTCCCGCTGAAGGATAATCTCTGCAGACTTTGTCTGTTCCCTGCATTGACCACTTACTACTTAACTGTCCTTTTCCAACACTGTCCTTCCCCCCCTTGGTCTTCATTTTTTGCTAACCAATGCTTTAATTCAAATATATGTTTTTTTTTAAATAAACGTTAAGAAGATCCTTTCTAATTTTCTTGAAAATTCACGACAGTCATTGGGGAGGATTCAAAACAGAGAATTAAAAAATTGAACTTTGGTAGTTTTCATTTTAGACGAGACAATTCGAGCAAAGTGTGATGGCTGATCTTCCTATAATCATTTAAGTTATTTTCATCTCTAATTTCAAATATTCAAAATTTTACTTTTTAAAATCTTTTAATTTTAGTAACATTTATTCCTCCTTATCGTAGTCTATATAGTAATAATATTTTTCCTCCTTCTATTAAAAAAGTATCCTTAAGATGCATCTAGAACACTGTTTCCCAACCTTTTTTCAGTCGTAACCCCCTTGTATAATTGCTACGTAACATACAATTTTCATTAAAAGGCATTTTAATGGGATAATGACCTCAAATGAAAATAGAGTTTTCAGAATAGAATTATACACTAATAATTAAGGAAGGGCTGCATATCTGCCTCTACCAAATAAAAATTGAAAAGGATATTAAGTTAATATACTTTGAATTTGAGTTACCTTTTTGGGTGTGGAAATGTTCCTTCCTTCATAACTCCTCTCCCCAAAAAGTTTTTTAGTGAAGTGCCCCTCCCATCTCAAGGCCAAAGGAACAACCTCAGGTCCAGCCTCACGCCCACCCTGTTTCTCCTCCCTCACCTTTTTGCCTATATTTCCTTCCTCCTCCTTGACTCAGTCTGAGCCAGAATGTGTTTCTCCTTATCCCAGCAGCTTTCTGAAGTGGTTGTTCCTCTTCTTTTTCTTATCTACCAGATGATGAACAGGAGGAGAAGAAATGCCCAGGAACACCTGGGGCATCAGGTGCAGGAAGACATAAACAAGTAGGAAAACAGAGAATTGAAAATGCAACTGGGAAGGAATGGATGTCACATGAAAGATCTCACACAGGGGAGAAACCAAATAAATGCATGTCACCTGAGTAGACATCAAAGAACTCACACTGGGGAAAAACCATATACATGCATGAAATGTGGGAAAAGCTTCAGTTGCAGCAGTGCCCTGAGAACTCACACTGGGGAGAAACCATATACATGCATGAAATGTGGGAAAAGCTTCAGTTGCAGCAGTGCCCTGAGTTCACATCATAGAACTCACACTGGAGAGAAACCATATAAATGCATGGAATGTGGGAAGAGCTTCAGTCAGAGAAGTCACCTGAGTACACATCAAAGTACTCACACTGGAGAGAAACCATATACATGCATGGAATGTGGAAAGAGCTTCAGTCGCAGCAGTGCCCTGGGTCTACATCATAGAACTCACACTGGGGAGAAACCATATACATGCATAGAATGTGGGAAGGACTTCAGTCAACGCTGTCACCTGATTTCACATCAAAGTACTCATACTGGAGAGAAACCATATAAATGCATGGAATGTGGGAAGAGCTTCAGTCAGAGCAGTCACCTGGGTACACATCAAAGTACTCACACTGGGGAGAAACCATATAAATGCATAGAATGTGGAAAGAGCTTCAGTCGCAGCAGTGCCCTGGGTCGACATCATAGAACTCACACTGGGGAGAAACCATATACATGCATAGAATTTGGGAAGGACTTCAGTCAACGCTGTCACCTGATTTCACATCAAAGTACTCACACTGGAGAGAAACCATATAAATGCATGGAATGTGGGAAGAGCTTCAGTCAGAGCAGTCACCTGAGTACACATCAAAGTACTCACACTGGGGAGAAACCATATAAATGCATGGAATGTGGGAAGGACTTCAGTCACAGCAGTGCCCTGAGTTCACATCATAGAACTCACACTGGGCAAAACCATATAAATGCATGGAATGTGGAAAGAGCTTCAGTTATACCAAAAACCTTAGGTCCCATTTAAAAATGCACTCTGGGGAGAAAAAATAGAAATACACAGAATGTACGTAGAGCCTCATTAGGACCAGTTATCTTTCTTCATATCCAATCATATTGTTGCATTGAATATGGAAAGTCTGAATTAGAATAATAGCCTTAGCTATTATTGTCAGAATGACCTCTACCTAAAGAGCTAAGGATCGTGGGTCAGGGAGTAATTGTGGGTGCAAAACAACATACTTAGTGCTTGAGGCAAGTCCTTTAGCCCTCAGAAGTGTGTAGTAGAAGCCCCATGGACAAGCCCGGCCGTAAAAGAAACCTTTGCTTACTTTCAAACCAATAAACAATTTATTGAGTGCTTCCTTAGACAGCACAACTGCCTGAGCATGTAGGACCTCTCAGTATTACAGTAGCAATTAGTGACCTTCTCAAATCCTCACTAGATTCAGGTTTAATCCTGCTGTTCAAGAGAACAGTCCTCTGCTGAAGAATTATATTTGTTTTTATTAAGATAATAAAATAGTTTCATTAGAATACACTTGTAGCTTTAAAGACTTAAGCATTAGACATATCCATCTGTTACAATGATTAAAAGAAGTCTACGATTTCTAAGTAAAATAATAACTAGAACCTAAGTTATCTTTGCTCTCACTACATGTTAATTCTACAAGATCCATCCAACACCATCGATCTGTCTGTCAAAGAAAATTACAGGCCTGAGCAGAATGGAGTATGTTAATGAGAATCCATAATGAACAGGTGTGTTAAAACTGAATCAGGATGACTCAGCAGTGCTGATGAAACTCATGGCTGATGCAACTCGGATGATATAATTTGTGATCAGATTGGTTCTATATGTGTATATAAGTGTGAATTGTACAGTCAGTTGTATCTTCCTGCTTGAAGATCACTTCTACATATTATGCTGCCAGATTGCTGTAAATACTGCTGTTAATACACGTTGCTGAAGGAAATGCTGCTGGACTGTGGGAGTTATTCTGGACTGCGATTTACTCTGCTAAAACCGTGATTTCCACTAAGAAATGCTGACACTGTCACGTACAGGAACAACCATTTTTCTACAGGTCTCTTGAACACCTTTTATGACGCTTCCAAACTGTTAACCAATTAAGTCCAAGTGGGTGTAACTTAGTTCACTGCCCACATTTTATTTTATTTATTTATTTATTTGATTTTTACCCCGCCCCTCTAGACAGCGTCTCCTCGGGGCAGCTTACATAGGCTAAAACAGATTAAAAGAACATATAAATAACATATATAATACAATAATTATAATCAATATTATTCAAGATGGCTACAACTCAAAAAACAGAAGAAAAGGAAAGAAAAAATAACTTAGTTGACTGGGGGGAAGGCCTGTTTGAATAACCAGGTTTTTAGTTGGCTTTTAAAAGCACCCAGCGAGGGTGCCAGCCGAATTTCAGTGGGGAGTGTGTTCCACAGCCGAGGGGCGAC